GGGTCCAGGACGTGAACCGCGGTCGACTACGTGGGAGTCCAGCGACATAGCCATTACACTAACTGCTGGTTCCCTCGCATTGCAGTTTTGAGACTTCCTTCCTTGGGAGGACAGAGGTCCAATGGATATTGGGATGTGTGGACTGTGAGCCATTTTTCCCAGATTCTGCAGGATATTAATTAGGTGCCTTTAAAAAAGATTTTCACTAGTGGTTAAAAGGTGTGAGTGAGGGGCCTGCAGGTGGCATTGTGGTTAAAGACACTGGATTCCCACATGGGTGACTGCAGTTCAAGTCCTGGACCTGGTAGCTTGCTTTCTTGTTTTCCCTTTCTTTCTCTGTCTTTGTCTGGTCAGATAAATAATAATAATAACAACAAATGGAATTAAATAAATACTTCTGTTAAAAAGGAGGGAAATTAAATTCTTCTTTTTGGGGGGAGGTTTTTGCTATAGGGCGCTTGCACTCGCCAGAAAGACGGAGACAGGAGATCCCTCCTCCTCTCGGGGTCTTTGGCATGCACACACACGCACCCTGCATGAGTTTAAGCCACCGGGTCCAGGACTTGAACCGCGGTCGATTACATGGGAGTCCAGCGACATAGCCGTTACTCTAACTGCTGATCCTGGGAATGAGATTCTTTATTGCAGTATCTCTCAGCGCCTTTAATATTTGGAGTGAATCTTATTTATTTATTTATTTTTTGGAGAGGTTTTTGCTATAGGGCACCTGTGCTCACCAGAAAGAGAGACAGAGAGACAGAAAGCAAGAAATCACCCCCCAGGGGGGATGGTACACTGCAATCCCTTCTCTTCCATTCTCTTCTAAGGACCTTGGGCACGCATGCACACACACCGGGTCTGGGACTCGAACCGTGGTTGACTATGTGGGAGTCCAGCAACATAGCCGTTATGCCATTTGCTGGTCCCAACAGGGTGGATATTTTTTATTCTTCCCAAGTTTTGCTATAGGGCATGTGAATTCACTGGAGAGAGAGAGAGAGGGAGGGAGAGAGAGAGAGGAAGAGAGAGAGATATCACTTCTTATGAGGAATGGCTACATCACAATCCCTTCTCCATTTTCCTCTTGGGATTCTGGCACCCACACACATGCATCCAATGTGTTACAGTTTGAATAAAGAGGTGGTCGTGGTGCTTTTGATGTATAGCTTTTCCAAAATAATTTGGTCAGAAATCTTTTCTTCATAAAGGATCTCCTGGACCTCTTTTACCCCAGAGTGATTCAGGCTCTCCAAGTGTTGGTCTGCTAAGCAGCTGTATTAAATTGAGTTGGTTTCTTGTAACTTACCTCTAGAATCTCTTAAAGTGCAGATTCTTGGATCCCACCTCCAGAAATTCCAGTTTTGTAGATCTTGGACAGATTCTGGGCACCTCATTTATTATTGTTATTATTAAACGAACATGTACATGTGCCCATGAGAGGGAGAGAGAAAGACTACCTCTATAGGGTCTGGTCATGCCTCATACCCAGTGTGTTTCAGCTGACCAGGCCAGGATTCAAACTGGAGTCACCATATGGGATCCAGCTTCTCATGAGGAGCACATTAACCATTGTGCTACAGAGTCGGCCCCTGTCTAAGTATGCTTAGCCAAGTTTGGAGACCCCTTGGCCTCACAGCCCCTAGCCAGACCTCAGCCTAAGACACTTGATAGATAGGATAGTGTGTGTATGTGAGTGAACATGCGTTACTCTGTAAGAATGACATACTGTAGGGAGCCAGCAGGTGGTGTAGTGGTTAAAGTGCTGGACTCCCACATGGTCGACTGTGGTTCAAGTCTCCCACCTAGCAGCTTTAAAATCATGTGGGGCGCGTGGGCGTGCCCAAAATCCAAGAAGAGGATGGAGGAGAAGGGATTGCAGCGTGGCCATCGCCCCGGGGGGAGATTTCTCGCTTTCTGTCTCTCTTTGTCTCTCCAGTGAGCACACGTATCCTATAGCAAAAAACTCTCTGTCAAAAAAAAAAAAAAATGCTGTCAGAAAAAAAAAAAAAAAAAAAAAAAGACATACTATGTGGGGTCAGCTCCTTGGCTCGGTAGATAAGGCAGCTGAATCCCACATGAACGACTGAGTGGTTTGCGTCTCATACCTGGAAGGTCAAGAAACATGTCAGGTGCCAAAAGGAGAGGTGGAGTAGGAATTGCACTGTGACTGTTCCCCATGGAGGAGCTTTCGCCTCTCTCTGTCTTTCTCTTACCCTCTGGAGAGTGCATGTACCCTCTTCAAAACAAAACAGAAGGAGGACATAAAATGCGTAGGCACATGTGAGTAAGTATATACATGTGTTTCCATATGCAGTGCTCTTGGTGATTTTGAAAATGTGGAAGAGTTTGTGAGAGTGAGAAAGATCAGTGTGAACTTGCAACTCTGAAAGAAGGTCAAATGAAGATGGAGTGAAAAAGTAAAAATGGACGAAAAAGTTAGGATTGAGGGAAAGAATAAAAATAAGTCAAGTTAAATGAAAAGAAATCAAGAAGGAAGGAAGGAAGAATGGTGCACCAGGCTATCAGGCTGAGGTGAGAATTCAGGGTGAAATGAAAAGAAACTAGGTTGGAATTGCCACCCTCCCCTCCCCCCCCCCCCAAAAAAAAAAATATCAGACTGATGTAAAAAGGTATTTGGCTACATTCGCCAGGAGACACTGCTTCTCAGAGAAGGAAAATTACTTAAGGGCAAGGGACTCTTTTGTCTCAGCACCATCTAATAATAGATAAGTAGCTTTCCAGTAAGGCTGGAGATTTTCTAGACTGAAGCAAAGAGGTTTACTAGACTGTAGGCTTAAAAACAAAACAAAACAGGACTTATCTGTCCAAAAGGTAAGTGGGCCCACATGGGTATTGAAGAATAACCACGAGTTCAGTGTATGTTAAGCAGGGTGCTCCTGAGCTGTTTAGAGAATTGGACCTCTCAACCAGCAAGCTGGTGTTAGGGGATCCTCACTGATCCTAAAGGAAAAGAAAAAAAAAACAAAAGCAAAACCGAAACCCCAAAACAAAACAATGACAGTGTATGAAGAGTATTATTTACCTTACAAAAGAATGTCCTTAAGAGTGACGCTCTACGTAAACTAAGAATGGAAGGATATTTCCTTCACTCGAACGGGTCATGAAACCTACAGCCAATTTTGTACTTAATGATGAAACATTAAAAATATTCTTAATAAAGTCAGAAATATGATTGGGATGCCTTACAGACGTCTGACAATGCTAGCCTACGCAATGAGGCAAGAAAAGTAAATAGGGGGGCGAGTAGATGGCATAATAGTTATGTCACCGGACTCCCACTTAGTTGATTGTGGTTCAAGTCCTGGATCTGGTGACTTAAGCCTCACGCCGAGTGCATATGCATATGTGTCCAAGATCCCAAGAGGAAAATGGAGGAAAGGGGATTGTGGCCAACACCCCTGGGGGCGTGATTTCTCACTTTCTGTCTCTCCAGTGAGCACACACATCCTATAGCAGAAATTTGTCTCTCTAAAAAAAAAAAAAAAGAAAGAAAGAAAGAAAGAAAGAAAGAAAGAAAGAAAGAAAGAAAGAAAAGAAAAGAAAAGGAAGAAAGAAAAGAAAAGAAAGAAAGAAAAGTAAATAGGAAGCATGAATTTTAGAAAGAAGATGATGATTAACTTGAAAAATATTAACACAGTAAGAGAAGCCCTGTAGGAGAAGCGCATGGTTTGATTAGAGAAACAAAGCTGGATTCCTAGGCAAAGAACAATACCCCAGGCTTTGCGGTTGTTGTCCTGTGTCTGTAATACGTGTTAGATGGAGGAAGGCAGTTTGGGGTAGTCGAGGCCGTCCAGACGATGGGGTTTGAGGACATCCCTGGGAGGCTCCATGGACAGTTTGCTCTTTGAGTGCGAAGGGCTCTGTCCCTAACTTTATGTAGCCACAGTTCCGGGGCCTGGTGGGTCCTCACTAAGGATCTTTTGAAGGAAATAAGGGAGGTGAGAGCAGTGAAAGGAGGAGAGGAGCAGGGGAAGGAAGGAAGGAAAATGAGTGTGGAACAAGTGTGGGAAAAGTGGAGGCATTTCAGAGGTGCCAGTTCAGAGAAGGGGGTGCTACTGGGCGACAGTGGAGAGGGCTCTGAATAGAAGGGAGAGTTGAAGGTGGCAGAGGAGGTGGAGGTTTTCTTCTCTAGCCTGGAAAACCTTGAAGGTGTGTGTGGGGCAGGGCGGAGGTGGCGCTTCAGCTGGGGGTCGTGGAGCGGCTGGTGCCCAGAGCAGAGCGTGCTGTGGCCCTGCAGTGAGAGGTGAGGGGCTGGGTGCTCCCCACCCGTGCAGTCCTGCTCTCAGCCAGGCTGTGCCGGTGGGCTCGGTAACCCGTGTGGGGCGGGGTCTTAGCTACTCCCAGTAGGGGGTTAGGCTTCCAGGTGGCCAGTGTGTCCTTCCTTCCCTCCCCGTTTGCAGGCTCCACCATCCTGGCCGAACGGGGCATCCCATCACTGCCCTGTTCCCCTGCCTCCACGCCAACCTCGCCCAGCGCCCTGGGTAGCCTCCTCTCAGACCCCTTGCTCAGCACGTGCAGCTCTGGACCTCTGGGGAGCTCTGCGGGCGGTGAGTATGTGTGTCCCCCACCCCAGTTCCATGGTGACAGGGGTCTCCACGTGAGACCCCAGTGCTGAGGCAGGGGTGCAGCCTGTGTGTCAGGAGGGGAGCTGGTGATTTCTGGGAATACCACATCCTGTTCCCTAGCTGGACAAGGGCATTCGCCAAGGAACTTTATTTATTTATTTTTTTTTTAAATAAGCCCTCAGGGAGCCCCCCAAGGTACTCAGGGGAGACCTGCCTTAGATTTTTGGCTGCCCTCCTTCCTCCACCCTTTTTTCTTTTTCTCTCACTGCCTCATGGCCACCCTGGGGGGCTGAGTGGGCCCTTCTCTGTGCCCTGGAAGTTGGGTTGTCAGGACCAACAGGCAGATCCCGATAAGCAGAGGGGCATGAGAGGGCAGGGTCCTTCTTTCCGGGAACCCGGCACTGGGCCAGGCCATGTCTCTCCCTGACTGCTGCCCCCTTGCTCCCAGGGACAGCCCCCAACTCTCCGGTGAGCCTGCCTGAATCCCCGGTGACCCCAGGCATAGGCCAGTGGAGCGACGAGTGCACCATTTGCTACGAACACGCGGTGGACACGGTCATCTACACGTGCGGTCACATGTGCCTCTGCTACGCCTGCGGCCTGCGTCTCAAGAAGGCTCTGCATGCCTGCTGCCCCATCTGCCGCCGCCCCATCAAGGACATCATCAAGACCTACCGCAGCTCCTAGCCCGGTGCGGTGCCTGCCCCGCACCCACCTCCTCGGACTTGAGCCGCTCCAGCCGAAGGGCCGGCCAGCAGGGCCCGCACCCTCATTTTGGAAACTTTCTTTCGCCATTAAACATGGGAAACTGAGACCCCTGAAGGTTTGGAGAGGGGGAGGAGGGAGTATCAGGCAGGGAGCTGGAGTGTATGGGGGGGGAGAGCAAATTACTGGGCAGAGTGGAGGGGAGGAGGCCGCCGTGTCTTTCTGTCCCTCTGCGCCCAGCTCTTCCCTGTATGCCAAGTGGCTAACTGGGGTCTCAGCCCGTCCTAGTCCTTCCCATCTGGGGTAGCCTTTGTGAGAATTACAAGATGCGTACTGTCCTCGGGGTGGATGCCGCCGAGCTGGGACCTGTGGCATGGCGGGTGGAGTATGGACTGTGGTTTCAGCCTCCACCTGCCCCCTCGGCCAACACCCTAGAGCAGCGCACAGCTGCTCCACAGCCCAGGCAGCTGCTCCTGAGCGGCTCTCCTTCACCTGTGCCCACCTTCTGTTTCCTCCCTTCCCCGCCCACTGGGCCCGACAGGAGGGGAAGGAAGGCTGCCGATGCCTCACACGGGGCGGGCCGCAGCCTCCACGCCATGTCTCTCTCCCAGTCACCCAGGAGGGGTGGATGGACGGGCTGCAGGGGCTTCAGATTCCATGCTCCCAGCCCCTGTCCTGGCTGAGATGGGAGGACCCCTTCCTGGCCACAGTCTTTCTGTCCTAGCCGTCTCCTGGATGCCCTACCCAGGGGTGGTCCCTTGGCAGGGCGGGAGAGAGGGCCTGTCTTCTGTCGGGGGCTTCTCCTTCAGACCTGTCCCCCCATAGCCTAGAGCTGGCCTGGCCTGGGCCAATGCTCAGTGGCTGTAGCACGTCCAGGAGGCCCAGGGCCTGGGTTGGGGTGGGGGC